AGTTGAAAGTGTAATCGAAAAGTGAATGACATTGTAGATTGATATTGATGCAAGCAACAGAACTTGATTGAATAAATATGAACGGAGCTTTAATTTTTTGCTGTTTTGATTTAATTTTAATGTTGATCAACATTGCGATAATGTTTGTTCGTTTTATTGTCCTGTGCTCTGTTTTCGTTTCCTTCCCATACGTATGCTAAAAACGGCGTTTATCAATGATACCGTTTTGCCATTCAAAAAAAAACGTTAACCTGAACTTTAGTATAATCTTCATTAAATTAAATTAAGTGTGAAACTGCAGTTCACCTTTAAATTAAGCGGTGAAATGATGGGGCACGAAAATGTAGAGGGGTGCGCTTGGACGACGTTCCCCTTCGGTTGCGTTTTGACTTCTGCCGTTGCCTAGATCTGCGTGTATTTTCGATCACGGCGAGCAATCATGGCTAGTTGCTCGATCGGGCATGGTGCATGTGCCAGATGCGACGAGACACGTTGGGAAACGAATGCAAACACGGGCACTTGGATGTAGTTTAACAGCTTAGAGACTATTTAGTCGTTCGGGCTCGCGTAGTCGATCGACGATCGAACCGGCTTCAGTTTCGTCCATCCATTGTTTGTGCTTTTGTTTCTTTTTAGCCAAGTGCATCGACGATAAGTGCCGTCAGAGTACGGATTTTGTTTTATCCTAATCTTGCAGTGTTTGCCGCCGGCGTGAGTGATGTGTCCTTTTGTCTGCCCTCGCTTCTCTATCTTTTCTCGGCAAGACCAGTTATCGTCTGTAGCTGCAGCAGGCTCGACGACACCGGTTATTGTTTCTTGAAGAAGTAGCGACGATAACCACCCGATGTTCTGACGAGTGAACGTTGTTTGTTTGTGACTCGTTCGCTGACTCGTCTACGCGTTCTGTTTGTTCTGGTGATTGCGATTGTTCGTTATCATCGTGGTCGCATCTTTCGATCACTACAGCGTCGTCCGACGTCGCTGCAGAAAAGAACAACCATCTCCATTCTGGAACTAAGACGGCGGCCAACACCAGCAGCAGCACCATCGGTAGCCGCCGTCCGGTGGTGGTCAGATCGTTCGAGAAGTCTGTAGTATTTCGCCGCAGCTACCGTTTTCACCCGCGCCTTGGAGCACGCATGCGTACTTTCCAGTATTCGAAAGTTAGCACCGTCTTCATTGTGACTTCTTTTCGTTATTAGGTTGTTTGTCGATTAGATATCCTATGGGCGACGGTGCGCGCTCTTGAATCTCTTGTCCAAATCTCTGAGTTTTTTTTTAAATAATGGTGTTTGTTTGCGTTTTCTGTTACTTTGCTTGTTCACTCATGCTTGTTCATACTTCACTCACGGTGCCTTAAATTGAACAGTTTATGCAGATTATCACCCATGACAGCAAACATGGATGTGCGCCTAAGCACAGTATTACAGAACGTCCCATTCCGTCGGCTAGTTTACATTAAAAATTAACTTTTATTTCTTTCCCTTTTATCCTCCTGTCGTTATATAAATCATGTCGGATTTAATGTCATGTGTAAAAAAATGCACCACCATATGCAACATCTTGTATAGCGAACACTTGGCCACAGACAACTTGCCAAAATGTTGGTCTGTTTACGAAACGCACTGTAAAGGTTGTCGAAAGATTAATAGTCGTATAACAAACGGACCTGTTAAAACTGGTCCAAAGTCACATATGACAGCTAAACAACGATCTGCTAATTTCAGATGTGCTATTGACGCCTTACGCCGTACTGGCGGTAAAGAGTTGAAAATTCTACGCCATCACGATGTCATTACCCGCCTCGTGATACGCGAATTCACATTCTGCAAGGCATTTCGTGCACCCTGTATAAACGTCGAGTTAAGCCTCAAATATCTATCATTTCTACTACCTTCTCCATTCCTTTCACTTATTTTCTTATCGTTTTTTAACTTTTCGCTGTTTCTCATGCGCATTTAATTTCTTTCACCTTTTTTCTTTGCGTATGTTGTGTATTTTTCGTTATACTGCTTTAATTATCTACCTGCTGATCTTTATTCTCCGTGACTACCATATTTCCTCGGTGCGATATAAATCGGTGTAAAAGAACCGAAAAATCTGTAGCGAGTTCCGAAAGCTTCACTTGTTAAATTTTTTTCAGACTTCAAACCGTCCTCTGTTTGTTAAAGGCCTGTTTATGTCTTTTTGAACTTAATCTATTGGAACCATGTTGGTCGAGTAAGGTATGGATTTCGTGAATTTGAGCTGTGCTTTGCATGTAGATCATTTTGCAGTAGACGTCCAACATGTAATATGCCCCTGTTTATCAACTTTCTGGGTGGTGGTGGGCGATGTGCTGTGCTTTAATCGCGTAATTGATGTTTTCACTAGATTTGGGTTATGCCAAATTACCGTAAGAAGCTGCTAATTCTTTCATAGGACTGGGTGTGTTACTTCCGTATGTAGACAATTTTATACAGCTAAGAATCACAACTTTAAAAGTAGTAACAAACTCGGTTTACTGTGTTGCATAAGAGTCTCCTGTCATTGACATGTCCCCTGAAAATAGATCCAGATTTAAGGACGTCGGGCAGTCTTATGGAGTATAAAGTAAACCGTTTAATGAATTCCTGTTGTGTCACTAAATTACGTGAAATTACGTATTCCGCCGTTTCTTTCTCCAACTTCCATAAGAAGGTGGAGGACCATTAAGCAGACACCGCTTCAATGATATTTGTTGTACAGCTCGATGATTAACTGCAGATAAGGTTCTATAGGCGTTATAACATACGCTTATAGTGACCATGGAATAGTAACCGTAGTAACAGTACGTAAAACATCAAAATTGCAACAAAAATGACCTTAGCCTTGTATGAAACTACCAAATCGTCCTTTATTATGCCTGTACGTAAATAAATATGGTACGCGTCGTCGTACGTACAGTTTTGCATGCGCGCGTTTTGAAGTAGGTACTTTGCGACAGTGCAGATACGTGTTATTTGCTAGTTTACTTTTATAAATTGGCATATGGATACATATAGACATTTAACTTAACTATATACTGGCCTTGAGACGGCGGCAGAGTCCTGCTTATGTTATTAAAGGTCAGATGATATGCTTATGCCACTTAGGCTTATATTATTTAAATCGTTCCCTAGTATTTCGTGCAAACTGGTAAGTACGGGTAAGCATTTATATCGAAGTAGGTTCATATCATACGTATAACTCAGAATAATGTACTGTTCTGATTATAAAGGTGCACGTCTAAATCTATAAAGAATGACTCATCCAAGACCACATATAACCGCTTGTTGATCTATCGCCTTGCTCCTGATTGGTTAGAGGGGCTGGTATTTGAGTACTTGCTGTACCCAGCGCATCTCTCATCATTTTGTCCGCTGGAACCATATCGCATTCATCAAGAACGATGTTTCAGGAGCTGGTGCTCCTCACATGCTACCGTATAAACCACAAAATACGTTCGTATGTCAGATAACGCATTACTCTGCCAAGACCAGATTTTAAAGTAAAAGTAAATAATTGCCAACAAACTTTGTACTGCACGCTGTAGTATGATGCGTGTCCACTATTCGACTTTGTTCGAATCTGCTTAAGGTATTTGCAATGAATTAAAAATTGGACGAACAGCGGAACCCGTAACCAGGTTGCAGAATGAATTAGTTCACTGCAGAAGTTCAAAGTTACGGACTAATTAGATGATCCCAACAGACAAATAAAAGCTAGAGGTGGCGCGCTGTGCCTCGTTAATTCCAGTATCAGAAATTTGAATGTTGTGAGAACGAATTAATATTGGGCATCTAAGTATCTGAAAGCTTCTTTATTCACGAAACAGCTTCACGGAAACAGGTTTTGCTTGGTTTTTGCTGCGAGTCGTTTTCAGTTAGAAAAACTTGGCTCACCGTTGTCGCAGTTGTGATCCGAAGGGTGAGGCTGTATATGAAGTTTAGACCGGTCAAGTGCTTCCTGTGTCGTCCCGGCTTCTTTGACGTCGTTGTGTAATATGAATATCCCTTAGTTACATGCTCATTGTTTGTAGCAATCCGTGAGACTGATTTATGTCTTGAATGCTGGAGTCCATACTTTCTGTTCATGGTGTCATCCGTTTACGAACTGACAGACTTTCGAGCACAACCCGCGTAAAACTTGTTTGTACCGCGGAATTTTTACGCAGTAAGGCAAGGTGGCAACGTGACACCTGAGTAGCGATACTCTTGGATGCATCCCATTTCGTTTTAATTTCTGGATCATTCTTTTGCCAAGCAGGAACAACGTATCAGCGGCTGACGAAGCTCATACGCTGCCGCACAAACATCGGAATATTTGATCGGCTCATACGCTGAACTATTTTTATTGATGCATGACACGACTTCCCTGGACCCGATTTAGCCGCTTTTCTTTC